ATGGTTCCAGGTGATGTGACCCTTCTCACTCACACATGTCTGTTCCCAGCACAATTCCTACGTTTTGAATCACAATTAAAGATGCTCCCATCAGAACACATACAAAGTAATCAAGATCGCAATGGCAAAAATCTTAAAACTATTATGCAGGAAATGTTTTCTGGCATGGACCAGTATGTTGACTTAAAAGTTCAGGCCTGGGCCCTGCCCCTTCTTGTCATATAGTGAGAGAGCTTCCACACCATGCATGAATTTCTATCCCAGAGGAAGGTACACTGAATAAATCCTTTACTCAGATACTCCAGGGTCATACAGAAACCTATACCCAGTTTGTAGCATGATTACAAGAGACTGTAAATAGGCAGGTTTCTCACAACAATGTGGCTAAAATGTTCATTCATCAATGAGAACACGAGAATGCCAAACATGACTGTAAATGAGTCTTAGCATTGGTACTTCATACTATATCTGTTTACATTCATGCATTCCAAAATATTGGATAGACTGCTCATGTTTCTATATTCAAGGGACAGGTTATATCCCAAAACCTCGACAATAAATTCCATCTAGCTAAATGTTTTAATTGTGGAAAGCAAGGACATCTTAGCTGACACTGCCTAGCACCTCTAAAGATGCCAGCCCCTTGGCTACTCAAGCTGTGCCTGATATGTCCATGTTGCATGAAAGGTTTACATTAGAAGAAACACTGTGAACCTAAACTTCATAAAAATGACAGAGGAATAAACCATGTGCCCAAACCAACGGCCCCAATAAAAATAAAAATCAGAATCAGCCATGCTGGGATTTGGAAGACTAACCAAGAAATAACTAGCCAGCCTTTCTGGTAAGGCATTAAAGCTGTTCCAGGGAGACAGAAGTCAGAGAGCTCCTCCTGTGAGCCTACTGGCAAGTGGGCTGAAAATCAAACACCATCCATGTGTCCCCTGCTCCAGTCCTCCTCCACCCCAAAAGCAACCAGATGGTTCAGAGGACAGGCTGAGTTGAGAGTAAAACAACTACATGTTCATATTATTTGTTTGATTATGTAGGCCTGGGGCCAGCAGTCTGAGCATCTCTTGACAGGATGATGGTCTCCAATATAGCAAATATGGGGATTTCCTTCTGTCTGGTCTGTGAAGTCAAATATTGTTTTCACTGTTTTGTTTTGTTCTGATTAAGTGTTTTGCTTTATTCAACATTCTGTTCTGATTGGTTTTATTATGTTTTATTTTTGGTTTGATTTTGCTATATCTGATGGGATGGACAACTATTGTGAAGATAACAAGATCTACTATGGTAGCTATTGTTGTTTTCCTGGTATCCTGCTTTCAGGTTCTGTACCAATTTTGCTGCATTGTTTTTGATTGGTTTTGTTCTGTTTTGTTGGATTTTACTATCTTTAAAACAAAACAAAAAATGAAAAAGACAAAAAAAGGTGGGGGGAGCTGGGGGTTTAGCTCAGCAGCATAAGCACCTGCCTTGCAAGCAGGCAGTCGTGAGTTCGATCCCCGGTACCGATAAAAATGAAAAAGACAAATAAATAAATAAAACAAAACAAAACAAAGCAAAAAAGACCAGTCAGTCAGTACTCCAATGCCTCAGGACCAGTTAAGCCAGTTATATCCAGTCCAAATCAAACGAGCTGCAGCCCCTCTGCCAGTATGATGCACAGCAAAATGTTGCTTCCCTTGTTTTCCAGTCTACCAGGTCAATCAGAGTATAGAATTAGATTTACCAAGAGCTACTCACATTCATTTGTTGGGGGGAGAAAAGTCAAATTTAACTTCCACTGAAATTTCCATTCCTGCCCTTAGCCCCATTCATAAACCTGGTAGAGATGAACCTTTAAGCAAGGAACTTTATTTTTCCCAGGGTATTTTGGTTCATAGACCTAACTGTACTATTAAATTAAATGGAAAGATTTTTACTGGACTGATGGATATGGAAACTGATGTAACCATAATAAACAGCCAATCATGGACGTCTGCTTGGTTGACTACACCTGGCTCCACAGCTTTGATAGGCTTAGGCGCTCCTCAGATTGCTTCACAGAATACACTGTCACTCCCCTGTGTCAGCTATGATAGACAGAACAAAGCCAATTGTGCCTGTTTCTTTTAATCTACGGGATATAACCCCTATGAAAGAAAGGGATACTCTCATAGTTACTTCTGTCCTTCACAGGTGTGAGTCACCAGCTAACAAGATGATGGCTAACATAAGATATCAAGAAAGCAAATGTTTGAGCAAAACTTGGCAGGACTGTACTCTTCAAATTGCACCCTTAATTAAATAAAATAAGTCTAAAATTAGGTTCACAATAAAGGTCATTGATACTTTTCTGCATGAAAAGTTAAGAATTTTATTAACAGTCCAATTGGATCATCTCAAGGTTGCACTATTGTAATTATTTTTAAAACTGCTAAGGTCTATATTAAGTAGAACTGCTCCATTTTTTATTGATCATATTAGAAATTATTCTACTCTTCCAGGTTCATTGTCATTATATGATTATAATGCAGATGCTCTGACAAATCTGGTTTCCATTTTTAATAAGTTGAGACAATCTTATAAATTTTTTCATCATATTTCTAAATCTCTGCAATGGAATTTAAAATGACCAGAGCACAAGCTAGACAAATCATGTCATGTCCTACCTGTCAGTTCATTCCTAGTTGCAATCCCAGAGATTTTAGAAACATTTATGCAAATGACTGTTACTGATATAGACTTTTTACCAAACTTAACTATATTTATGCCTCTATACATATCTTCTCACATATGATTCATGTTCTTATCATTCAGGTAATCAAAGGCGACTTGTCATATAGCATTGTGCATCAGCCTTTGCTAACTTAGGGGTGTCACAAACAATAAAACTTGATATTGGTCCTGTTTATATTAGTGAAAATTTAAGTTTTCCACATTCTACTTGATGTGACCTCCAAACAGGTGTTTCAAACAGTCCAGCATCACTTGTAAAATGGGGCTGACAGCATGCTTGTATTTCCACAGATAATCAAGAGACATTACACCCATCAGAGCTTTTCCATGGCCAGAAATCAACCCACTGCATGACATGTCAAGCCCCCTGCCAAGACCTCAAGCAATGAACCTGCAAGCACATCATCCATTGTCCTCAGAAGGCCTGCAGCAGGCTCTTTGTGAGACTTGCCATCTAGTTAACAGAGTTTGGTTCAATCATCTGAAAATCTTTTCCTTGCAATGCTTGCTCTCCTAGCAGCTACAGAATGTACTCCTGTGGTTCAGGGAGAAGAGTACTGAGCCTACTTAATCTACCCTTGCTTAGAACCCTTACATGGATGAATAGGCCTCCAGAGATTTTCCATTCTATAAGGGAGCAACAACCCTATATATACTGCCTGCCCACAAATTTTAATGAATTTACAAGAACAGGCTAAGCTTAATATTACCTCTCATCTTGTATATCCACCTTTATGTGTAAGATTCTAGCCCTTGCATGTAGCTGTGGATCAGCCTTCGAAAGTACAACTGTCCACAGGACAACTTGCCTTATTAACCTTAAATTCTAGTCCCTCAGATGTTAACCTCATAAAAGATTTTAAACCTACCAGTCCTATCTGTACTCCATAAACTTGCACCACTCATTTTGAGGAAGGTGTTTGGGCCCTTGGAAGTCTTGACGGGACACATGACATGATGGGCTATCTGCAAATTTAATTACATCTTTGTAGATTGGTCCCTCAGAGAATTCCTTAGGGGGGAAAAATTGAGATCGGTACGAGATTACCTTCTCAGACTCTCCCAACTGTACCATGATCTTAGATATTACAGACAGCTCAAAGATACAAATGTAAAAATTAAGGTAAAAAAGTAATAGTACAACTGCTAATGTAAATTTGAAAGAATAATTCAACCATTGTCTCGCAGTAATCAGTGGCACAGTGAAGTTGAGCAAAATATTTTGTAGATTGCAGTCTAAAGAATGTTATATAACATCAAATTAAATGATGTTCCATTTTCATACAGTTAGAACAAGAAAACTTTATGATTAGATTATGTTAATTTACCCTCTGCAACTCTTTTCCATTACTTCAACAATGCTTTAATTAAGGTTCATGTGACAAAACTGCCACATGACGTAACTTGTACTTGCACTATAAAATTAGTGTTGAGGACACTATGTAGTTTAATGCTGTCTAGAATAGGTTCCACACAATGAATTCCTTTTAGGATTTAGTATGAAAGATTCTAATTTTGGGGAGGCAGAGAGAGAAAGAGAGAGAGAGAGAGAATATTGTATCACGATTCAAAATCATCTTGGAAGCAATTATAGTGTAAAAAGAAAATTTAAGGTCTATTTTGACAAGGATTCTATGCTGATTACCTCTTTACTGTTTGTATGCGATACTAACCCGTAAGAGAATGACTACTGTACTGATCCTAGAAAGGGAATTGGACAGCTACATGCTAATTACAAAGGCAAAACATAGTAGCAAATATATCCTACCTTTAGCTTAAAAATGGAGATCTAATTTTTTTTTTTTTGCTTTCAAACAGATTGTACATCCTAGAAATGCCCTCCTGTTAAAAACTATGCAACACTTCAGAAAACTAGTCTGCCGCTTCTGCTTACCACATTTCATTTCCCCTGTTTTGCTGGTGGCATCTTAGACATTCATACTCTGGCTATACATAAACTTTTGACAGGAAAAAGCTGTGGAAAACTGAATTGTGAATAATCACAGCTGCTGAAAAGTAGAAAACTCTAGTTGCAGACAAGTACACAGTTATATTTTGCCAAGAAAAACAATAAAAGATACACTATTTTATATAGATCCAGCCTTATACACTACTTTAAATCATAAGCTCCATCCTTGTCACAGAAAAATAGTTATAAAATTTACGCTTTAATTGAAAGCTTATAGTTAATTTCCCTTTTAATCAAAATGAAATGTTTTCTTAATATGTCTTACTTATCACTTATAAAGGGAATACAACATATGTTTAGATTTTACCTCTTTCAATATCATCCATTAGAGATGTTGGGGACATCTTGTCTTCAGGTGGAGAATGCTTTGCAAAATCGGGAGTCTTACTTGAATTTCGCATATGTTGCGGCTGCTGTTGTTCCATATTATGGTGAACTTTAGTGCTTCCTTCAACTCTGCAATTAAGAATGTCCAAAATCAAAACAACCATGACAGCAATGTAACAGCTCAACTCACAAACTTACTAAGTTTGACCATTTACTGTTTTCCTTAGAGACTGTTAAAATGATATTCAAAAATTAAAATGCAGCTTCATTGAACAAGTTTTTGTCTTGCTTTGTTTTGTTTTGACCAAGTACCAACTATGTACATGTCATGCATACAGATCAGGTGATAGATAAAAACATGAATGAAAACAAAACCACTGCTCAAATGGACATTCACTAATGACTAATAACAGGAAAAGTGTAAGTATACAGTAAGGAAAATGTGTTCTCTAAGTTCTAAATTTATCATTTTTGTTAAAACTAAAACTTCCACATTCATGATTTTAACTTAAATCCCATTCATGATTTTAAGACAGACGTATTAATAAATGAAATTTATATACTTTTCTCCCAACATCTTTAGTATAAGAGTACATAACAAAATTATGCTTGACCTCTGCCTCTACCATTTCCAGCCACCAAATACTGTCAGTGCTTCTTTCATAAGTGATTTCTTTTAGTTTTTGTTGTTGAATTTTTGTTGTTGTTGTTGTTTGTTTTTTTCTTTTTGAGAGAGGGTCCTGCTATGCAGTTCAGGCTGGCCTTGAACTCACTTTGTAGCTCAGGCTGGTCTCGAACTTGCAATGATTCTGCCTCAGCCTCCTGAGTCCCAGGGATGATAGACATGCACCACTACACCTGGCTCTTTTCACAAGTATTTCACAGCTTTTAATGTTCGCTCTTAAAAATTCAAGTTTACACATTTTCCTGTTTTCCACATTGTTTCATTTAGTTTCTTTGTTGGATCAGTGTTTCAAAACATAATTGTATACATGCCAATACCTAGTTAAAAAGTTTTTAATATGTAACTACTGCCTGCAAGAAAACGTCTTAATTTCTGAGTTAATATTAAAGGCATTAACTTCAACTGACTTTTACAGCCTTACCTCTAATAACCTTACGACTATAAACATTATCCCCTACTTTCCAATATTTGGGCTCAAGTAAAGAGAAGTAAAGAGAAAACCTTTTCTCTGTTGGCCTTGAAAAGTCGGATATATTCCTGCCTCCAAACCTCACTTATATCCTTTAACCTTGTATCCTTTCTGATCAATTTTAATTGTGTGTGTGTGTTTGTCTGTGTGTGTGTGTGTGTGTGTGTGTGTGTGTGTGTGTGTGTGTGTGGTACTTGGAGACTGAGCCCAGGGCTTCACATGAGTTACATTCCCAGTCATTTTTTATGTTTTATTTTGAGACAGGGCCTCATTAAGTCCTAAGTTACCTATAATGAACATGCCAGGAACTTGAGATCTGTCCGCATCAGCCTCTCAGCTGGGTTAACAGGCATGTGCTACAATGCTGGGCACAAACTTTAATAGTAAGAATCAAAGAAGCTGAGGGGAAGGGGAGATGAGAGGAATTAATAAATATCTTTCCAAGCTCTGTGAGCTGAGGTTACACTTTGACTTATTTTTAATAAACACTCAAAGTAATTTTTATGATCCTAATTAACATCCTCTCAAGACACATCATCAATCAGGCTTCCCTCAACGTCCTCATCAATTACGACGCCTCCCTTCTCTTAATTCCTAGAGCAATTTTTTTCTGTACTATTTGTACAGTTTTTACACCAATTGCTCTTATATTACAGGTAAATAATTCATCACCTACTTCCAAAAATGATGTGAGATGGTTCTACTGTCTTGCTCATTGGTCTGTTAATCTGATTAAAACACAGAAATCTTGAGGTTACTGTTTATATAACAAACTCATTTTTACAGTGCCTTACATAATCTAGGAGCAAACCACATTTTTAACCAGCAAAGATGAAATGATTTTGGAACACATACATGGCTCCTTTCAGTCCAATTCTGTGAAAGCATCTACAATAGAATAAAAGATATACATATGGCAGGCACTAGGTAACAAAACAAGCTTTCCTATATCACAGGGCAGTGTGGTAAATTGTGGGTAAGGATCTTCAACAAGTTTAAAGTGAAAGCTTAAAAGATGTTTCAACATGCAGAAATAACCTTACATAATAACCAGACTTTAATCTGATTTATTTCCTGACATTTCCTTAAAAATTTATATGTTGATAAAGTAATTTATCTTATCAAACCACCTACCTTGTTTTTTTTACAGTGATGTTGCTGCTTAGTTTTTCTAGACGACATTCTCCAGTGTCATGGTTAATAATCAAAATGCATTCTTTTAAGTATTGTTTCTTTGAACCTTTGAAAACAGTTACTGGTGTAGTTGAACCCTGTTTAAAAAGTTAATTATCATAACTTGAAACTTATTATAGAAATTCAGGTGGGCTGGGTTTGGGTTCTTCTGGCACTGTGTTTCCCAATTCATATTATACATCACTTATAAAGTAGTTAACTTTACTACCCTGCAACAAAGGAGCTTGGTAAAAAAACAAAACAAAACAAACACAGGTGGTACATTTCTTTTTTTTCCTGTTTGCGTCACAAATTTAATTTTAAACACCTGGCATTTTCTTAAAATGATACGTCCCTATAAAGATTAAGAAAAATTAATGTTAACAAGAAACATCTGTTAACTAAACGCACCGATTAATTTTAGCTTCATTAAAAGTGAGAAAAACACACATCTTGTGCTTTGTGATATAAGAGAAACTACATTGCATCATATATCGAGTACTTTTACAAAAAAACCAAACTAAACTAAACCTCCAAAGAATCTAATTCTCATCAAACTCCAAAGAATCTATAATGCTCTTCAACCCTCTAGATCTATAACTACGAGGAATATAAAAATTATGTCCTACAAATATATACCACCACCCACTCCCAAAACAGGAAGTCAGCCAAGGGACGGGGGAGAGAGGGCGGAAAAGGGATGAATAAAGATCTTAGGACGTGCTAGCTACATGAAACAACCCATGTACGCACACATGTACTAAAAAACTAAAAAAAAGATTTTGCTTGATTTTGAACTTCATATATGTATCAAAATTTTAAGCCATTGGCTATGATAATTTTATCAGATAAAATATTACATCAAATTAGAAATAGATGACTTAAAAGATTAAAGCCATGTCATTAATTAAATTAATAATTCTTAAAGGTTTTCTAAATGACCACTAGAGGGAGTATAAGCGTAGTGACCGACACATACGGAGGAGGCAGGTTATCAACTTGTGAGCAGTATGAAGAGAAGATGAAAGTGAAAGAAAGGAACAAGTTTATTTGGTTTGTTAAAACTTCTCCCTAAGACTAACGTTATCTTCCAGAAATCAAGAATGCACAGCACATAAAGACATCGGGGTGACTCTAGAAAGATTAGTGTGGTAGGGCACTTAATTGAAATTCTGATGAATCAGAGGGCTAGCAACACTATCATGACAAAATAAACTGACTCTGGGGCTGGTGAGTTCATTCTCTGAAAGTCTTAGCTGAAAATCAGTAAAATATCCCTAAACAGCACCCTAAGTACTCCAAATTATAGTTAACAAGAGATTTGTGCAATATGTTTTTCTTAAAGTGAGTATAGATGAGTTTCACCAAAACATAATGAATGTTCAATTCAAACAATACGAACAATTTCTGGTCATAGGTCACAAGTTTGCATAATTTCTATACTTGTCTTCTATCCTTTAAGCAAGTTTTATGAAATTAAACTAACTTTCTCATTAAACTGAGCAATGTTCCTAACCTTCAATTTCTGTTGACAAGGAAATCTAATCATATTTGTTCTCAAACATCTTTATGTGCTTAGAAAGAAACTTTATGTACTCTACACCTTAGTACCTGTTGACCATCCCTGCTCCAAACTCTGACCAACCTTTGGTAACCATCATTCTTCTCTCACCTGTTATGAGATCAATTTTCAAATTTTTTAAAAAAAAATTTATCTTTTATTTTAAGGAGGGGAAAAATAAAAATCACGAAACAGTTTCAAAACAGGTTAGTAGGAAACTTAAATAATACATTGCAAATTGTTGTATTCATAGTAGTTTTTCAGAGTATAAGACATAGGCATGATACCTTGTCCATACAGTATTAGCACAAATCTTCCTTTTCAATGAACTAAGAGAAATTAGGTGATAACTATCTTATTTTGTGTGTAAATATATTTTTTTTCTTTTTCCCTTCTCTCCTTTCCTCTTTCCCCCATCACAGCAGAGCAACATTTGCAGATGAATAGTATTCCATTATGCACGGGTAGCACATTTTCTTTATTCATTCAATATTTGGTAGGCACTATCTCCATTTCGTGGCTGTTAGGAATTATACTGAAGTGAACAGGCTTGCGTATGTCTCTTCAACATACTGACCGCCTTTCCTTTGCATATAGATCAAGGAGTGATATTATTGGATCACATAGTAGTTTTGTTTACATTTTTCTGTATAATCTCTATAATGTTTTTGCATAATGCCAACACTAGCTCATATTTCCAACAACAGTGTGCAAGGATTCATTTTTCTCCGTAGCCTAGCCAGCATTTATTTTCTTTAGTCTTTTGATAACAGCCATCCTCAGTTGAATAAGGTGATATCTCACTGTGGTTTTGATTTGCATTTCTCTGATGATTAGTGATACTGACCATCTTTTTCATGTGCCTCGCTGGCACATGATGCTTCTTTTGAGAAGCATCTGTTTAGATATAACGGCTATTTTTCATCAGATCATTTGGTTTTTTGGTCTGAAAATCCAAAATCCATAACGTTTTGAACACTAACGTGACACAAGTAGAAAATTCTGTAGCCTGAAACTGTTTCATACACAAAATTATTACAAATGTTATATAAAATTACTTTCAGGTTATGTGTATATAATCTATATGGAAGCTAAGTGACATAGACTTAGGTCTCAGCCTCAAGATAACTCATTATACATATATAAATATTCCTAAATCCAAACATTTAAAAACCTGAAATACTTTTGGTCTTTAGCATTTTAGATAAGGGATAGTCTGAAATTCCTCCAGTACCACAAATCTAATCATTTTACTTTTTTGCTTAAAAACTTCTAATGGCTCTCACATATCCATAAGATACAATCAAATTCTACATTATACATAAAAGATCCTTCACAATCTGATCCCAGCCTACTGTTCCAGTTTCTAGGACTGCTAAGCATTTTTCATCACACTGTGACTAAGATAAAGTTATTTGTTCCACAAACTCCTTGTTCTTTCAGCTTTAGTCTTGCACACGCTTTAACCAGGAGAAGCCTGCTCCTCGTCTCCCTGCTGAAATCCCACTTGTACTTTAAAGGCTCAGCTCAGTAACTCTTTCCTTTGCAAAGCCTTTTGCAGTCCATCAAGCAGAGTATTTGATTCCACTCTTGTGCTTGCATGGAATTTTGGTATTTACTAGCTTAAACCACTAGATGTTTTGTGTCTGCATACCACAATAAATTAGAACTAAAAGGTGAGGGACATGTTATTGTCCTTACTCAGAGTATAAAATCTGGCTCATCATCAGAATTTAATAAATATTTGTTTAGATCTCCATTGTTTTCAAATTATTTACTACGATAGTTCTTAAAATTACTAAGTGAATAAGCAGACTTTAAGATGACTTCATTCAAAATAGTTGAAATTTTGGATTTTGCTATTCTATACTTATTGATGACAACCAAGCATGACTTCATGAACTATGCAAATGTTTTCATTTAAATTTAGTGGAAATCCAGCAAAAAAGATCATTTTAGTCTTACCGTATAGAAATACTTACTTCTATATTTGGCAGGGTTATCGTCACCTGCTCACCTTGGCCGACCTCCAGCTGTCCTTCACAAGAAGTGTCAATAGAGGCAGGTTTGAAGTCATCTAAAAACAGACATAAATTTGATGTGAAATTACCTTCAGGCTACATGTATAAAGTATATATGGATGATAAATAAATTTCATATTTAGACTTGGGGTCCCATTGCCAAACATTATGCATATGAAAATATTCCAAAATTCCAAAACTTAAGAAATCTGAAACATTTCTGGTTCCAAGCATTTAGGAAAAAGGATATTCAACTCACACTCTGAAATTTTTCCGAAATTACAAATCTCATCATATTGTTTCTTTGCTTACAAACTTTTACTGGTTCTCTAAAATGAATTTTTATAAAATAGAATAAATGAATATAAAAATAAGCATATGTCAGAGTAGTAAACTTATTTCCAGAAGTTAGCAGTTAAAATGGTTTAGAAGAGTTTTCATATTAAAAATAAAATGCAAAGCCAGGCTTGGTGGTGCCTGCCTGTAATCCCAGAATTTGGCAGGCTGAGGCAAGAAGGTTGCTGTGAGTTTGAGGCAAGTCTGGACTACATAGTGAGTTCAAAACTAGCCTGAACTGCATAGCAAGACACTGTCTCAAACAAACAAACAAAATAAAATACAATACAGTTCATTATGGTTTTTTTTCTCTTTTTTCTTTTTGTCGTACCTGGCATTGAAACCAGGGCCCTTACACTTGGCTGTTGTGCTAGCCTTTTTAAATTTTAAACTTTGAGACAGGGTCTAAGTTACTTGTTGCTCAGCTGGACTTGAACTTGTGAGTGCTGGAGTCACAACTGTGTGCCACTATACATAGGTCCCAGTTTAATTTCATATGCTTAATTCTTTAAAAAAAAGAAATAGCTATGCTTTAAAACAATATTCCTCAAACCACATTTGAGTTCTGTTTAAAGTGAATTAGACTAAAAAGTTCTACTGCTAAAAGCTAAGTAATGCTGGTGTTGGCACAACTTGCTGAAAAATTAACATAGGCAGGACATTTTAAATTTTCAGTCTTTTTCTCCCATAATTTTATTTTTCATAAATTAGTTTTATTTTTTTTTTTATTTTAAAGAGGGTAAAACTAAACAGAACAAAGTAGATCAAAAGAAAACAATGTAAGTGACACAGATTTCAAAGCAAGATAACAGGAGATCTATCATGGCTACCATAATGTCATTTGTTTTCTTCCAAATAGTTGTCCATATCTTCATACACAATGAATTCATACAAAACAAAATAGTCTTAAACTGATCAGAACACAGTGATGAAGGCATTACAGGCCTTCAAAACCAGAAAATAGGGAAATCATAATGGCTGCATAATGTTCAAATTAGCCGTCCATACCTTCATGTATGTTGAAATTAAACAATACAAAACAGACTAAAATAACTCTGAACAAAGAATAACAGTATCGCTGGATTTCAAAGCATGACTCTATGGAATCAGCACTGGGTACCTTTGTGTCTCTTTTTCTTCAAAGCAGCTGTTCATTTCATCACATATAATTGATTCTCATATATTGTTTAGGGGAAGTTCTATGCACGTATGAGTCTCTAATGTATACCTATCCTTTCTGTATTAGAGAGAAAAACAAACCAAAACCAAACAAATTACTAGAAAAACATGAAACAAAAAAGATAAATAAATAACAATAGCAAAGAACCCAACACAATGATGATATAGGCCTCCAAAACAAGGTGGTTGGAGCATAACTAGGGTTGTTATTTTACATAATGTTTTTTAAGAGCTCCTCAGATTGCCAGACACTAACATGCAAAACTGTTCCAATCCCATGAATACTAGCTGTTTTGTTCCAAGAACTTATGAAATTTGTAAAACAATCATTTTAGCTATTCTGTGAGATTGTACAATTTTAGATATTTTTCCTTTTCCCTTCTTTCTTTTTCCTTTTTCTCCCTGACACAGTATTTTTTTTCTTTTGAGCAGATTTTTATCCTTTCACTGTATTTATTGAGGATTTTGTATCACATGTACTCTTGCCATTTCTTACACTAGGGAGACAATATGGTATTTACATATGTGAATTTGATTTATTTCACTTATGAATATGGTCTCAAGTTGCATCCATTTATTTATAAATATCTCAATGTCATCATTCTTTATGGCTGAGTAGTACTTCATTGTATAAAAATACCGCATTTCTCTAATGATCAATCATGCTGAACATTTTTTCATATATTTATTTGCCTTTTGTATTTCTTCATCTGAGAACTGTATATTCATCTCAGATGCCCATTTTGGGGTTGGGTCTTTGAATTTCGAGGTCTGATTTTTTTTTTTAATTCTTCATATGTTCCAGACAGAAGTCCTTTGTCTAAGGGATACTAAAATCACTAAGATTTTTACCCAATTTGTGGGTTTTCTTTTCGCTATGCTAAAGATTTCTTTCGACATGCAAAAACTGTTTAATAAGAGTGATCCCAATTATTGATTCTGTGAAGTATTTCACATGAGATTTGATTCTTGTTCATGAATTCTCTACCTACCCCTATATCTTAAAGATTTCTACCTACTTTGTCTTCCAACAGATTTAGTATTTCTTTTTTAATATTTAGACCTTTGATTCATTTAGACTTTAGTGCACTGTGATAGACATGAGTCTAGTTTAGTTTTCAGCATATGGAGAGCCAATTTTTCCAGCACTATGTATTAAAGAGACTATCTTTCTTCCAGTGAATGTGTTTGGCCTCTTTATCAAAGAGGGTGGCTGATTGTATTTGTAGTTGTAGTTGTATCTTCTAATCTATTCCATTGATGTTCAAGTCTGTTTTTATTCCAGTACCATGCTGATTTTATTTCAGTAGCTCTGTAGTGTAACTTCAAGTGAGGGATTGTGAGGCCTCCTGCCTTGCCCTTGCTGCTTAGAACTGCCTTTACTATTCTAGGTGTCTTCTGGTTCCAGATGAATTTTAGGATTCTCTAAATTGGTGAGATATATTAGTGGTATTCTGATTGGAATTACATTAAATCTATATGACAATTTTGGGAGAATAGCCATTTTTACAATATTTGTTTTTCCTATCCATGAACAAGAGATGACATTCCATTTTCTAAGGTCCTCTTTGATTTCTTTTTCAGGGCATTTTAATTTTCCCTGAATAGGTCTTTTACTTCTTTTGTTAGATTCCTAAGTATTTCAATTTTTTGGATGCTATTTTGAAGGGTGTGGCTTCTCATTTCTCTCTCAGTGATTTTGTCATTTGTGTAAAGGAATGATACTGATTTTTAAGTGTTGACTTTGTATCCAGCTACCTTACTGAATGTACTTATTATACCCAGGAGTCTTTCAATGGAGTTTTGGAGGTTTCTATGTAGAGTATCATGTCACCTGAAAATGATGATAATTTAGCTTCTTTTCCTATCTTTACCCCTTCTATTTCTCTCTTATCTAATTGCTCTGGCTAGTATTTCCAGCACTATATTGAATAGAAGTGGTGATAATGGACATCCTTGTCTTGTTCCTGATTTTAGGGTAAAGGCTTTTAGTTTTTGGCCATTTAAAATGATGCTGGCTGTTGGTTTGTTGTAAATGGCCTTTGTTGAGGTAAAGACCAACTATTCCAATTTTCTGTAAGAATCTTATCATGAATAAGTGTTGGACCTTATCAAAAGCTTTTTCTACATCTATAGAAACAATCATGTGATTCTTATTTTTGGTTCTATGGATATGATGGATTACATTTATTGATTTGCATATGTTGAACCATTCCTGCATTCCTGGGATGAATCCCACTTGGTCATAGTGTATAATCTTCTTGATGATTTGTTGAATTCTGTTTGCCAATATTTTACTGAGAATTTTTGAATCTATGTTCATTGGGAGATTGGCCTGTAGTTCTCTTTTTGCTTGGGTCTTTCTCAGGTTTTGGTATTACAGTAATGTTTGCTTCCAGGAATGAGTTAGGGAGAGTTGCTTCCCTCTCAATTTCACTGAAGAGTTTGAAGAGTGTTGGCATTAAGTCTTCTTTGAATTTCTTGTAGAATTCCACAGTGAATCCATCTGGACCTAGACTTTTTTTTTATTGGTAAGGATTTAGTTAGTTACATTTTCAATTTCGTTAATTGAAATTGGATTATTCAGCAGTTTTACATCTTCTTGACCTAGCTTTGATATTTCAAATGTTTCTAGGAATCTGTCCATTTCTTCTGTGTTAATAAGCCAATCACAAAAGGTGTCTACGAAACCTATGAAAGTAGAAGTTTTCAAAATAAGTATTGATGATCTCCTGTATTTCCACAGGATCTTTAGTGATTTCATCCTTTTCATTCCTTATTGCATGAATTTGAATTTTTTTCTTTCCTTTTTTAATAAGGTTGGCTAGAGGCTTATCAATTTTATTTATTCTTTCACAGAACCAACTCTGATTCATTGATTCTTTGTACTGTTTTCTTAGTCTCTACTGCATTGATTTTTGTTCTGATTTTTATAATTTCATCCCTTCTTTTGTCTTTGATCTTATTTTTCTGGATGTTTGAGGTATAGTATCAGGTTGTTTATTTGTGTTCATTCTGTTTTCCTGATGTGGGAATTCACAATAAATTTTTCTCTAAGGACTGCTTTCATTGCATCCCACAGGTTCTGTTAAGTTGTATTTGAATTTTGCATATGTTGTAGGTATTGTTTAATTTCTTTAATTTCCTCTGTGACCCACTGATTGCTCAGGAGTGTATTACTCAATTTACATGTGTTTGTGGAGGTTTTGTAGTTTCTTTTGTCATTAATTTCAAGTTTCATGGTGCTATGTTATGATAACATGCACAAGATAATTTCAATTCTTTTGCATTTACTTAAGCATGTTTTCTGGGCTAGAATATAGTCCACTTTAGAGAATGTCCCATGTGCTGCTGAGAATAATGTATATTCTGATCTCTGTAAATGTCCACTAAGTCCATTTGTTCACAAGAGTGATTCAGTTTTGTTATTTCTTTTGCTGATTTTCTGTCTAGTTGATCTGTCCTTTAGTGTCAATGGAAGGTTAAGGTCTCCTGATATAATTGTTATTGCTTATTTGATTTTTCATTTGTGTTAATATTT